CTGGAAAAGAGCTGTTTCCCACCACATGAAAGTAAATATTTTTCGCTGGTTCAGTCTCTTGCATGCATCTGTCAAAGCTGGCAGTAACCAAAAGATAAATTCTGAGGGTTCAAGGTATGGTTACCGTATTTGTACCCTAATTCCACAAGTCACCTATCAAAATTTCCATCATACTGTAATCATATCTTATGTACTCTTTTTTCTCTGTGGCTATAGAATAGTTGTTTTTTTGTTTATAGCTTTGCATTTATTACACAAGTCTTCGGATACAGCATGAAATTCCCTGGATTTGGACCTTTTTTCCTTGAAACTGGTATAGCAGAAAATATCCCTTACATTTTAAGGTGTTGTTTTTCTACCAAAGCTACAAATGTTTCACAATTCCATATATGGAATTCCATAATAGAATTTAGATTCTCTGAAATAGTAATCTTTTAATTAACACCAAGCAAACTACCTAATGATATGGTTTTCATATTTTTATGCTAACTGTGATATTCATGGATAAGTACCTTTTTGTAGTTGAACTCTTTAAAATAATAAGAACAGGCCAACAACAGAAGAAGGGGGAGGATAAGACAATTGTTGCTATTTTAATTTCTGCTACTAATTCACATTGTAAGCTAAACGGAAATAGGCAGAATTATTACTTGATTCAGAAATACAAGGAATTTGTGTAGTATAGAAACACTATGGGGAATAGTTCTTTTTCTTGCATCAGTGTTAACCAGTTTACCAGCATCTTTATAACAGCTACTGGTTTTGTCACTATTTTGTTCTTCCCTCTTCTTGTACAACTCTTTCCTCTTTGTTCTTTTGGATTACGTTCACTTAGTCATATAACAATATGTAATTGCAGTTGTTGTTATGATTCAGATGTTTTATATCATTATCTTTTCAGATGAGATCTTTCTTTCAGTTTACTCATTCTGTATATTTTTTTCTAAGGCATATCGCAGGACTCAATGCCAACAGAGCCAAAAATATTATTGAATGGCGAGAGAAAAACGGGCCCTTCATCAATCGAGAACAGTTGAAGAAAGTGAAAGGGCTGGGTCCAAAATCCTTCCAGCAGTGTGCTGGCTTCATCAGAATCAACCAGGATTACATTAGAACATTTTGCAGGTGATTATTAAAGTGTACACTCTTGTTTCTATCGTCAGTTTTCTCTCTTATTGTTTCTAGGTGTCCCTTGTTCATGCCTTCATTCAATGTGTATTGGAATGTCTGTTTTTTTGCTAGGCATTGGGAATACAGCAGTGAACAAGTCAGCAAATTCCCTGTTCTCATGGACTTATATTTTAATATGTGAGACAGACAATAAACAAACTAGTAAAATAAGTGGATTCAGATGTAATAAGTGCTATAAAAATTAAAACAGAGAGATATGACACAGTCTTCAGAAGCAGTGCAACTGCTGTAGGTGAGTTATTCATTGAAAAATTATTTGAGCAGAATTTTGAAGGAAATGAAGGATCAGAAGGGAAGCATCCCAGGCAAAGCAAACACTGTGTGCAAAGTCCTAAGGCAGGACCAACTTTGGTGCATTCAAGAAACGAGGTGAAGGCAAACATGATTGAAGCATAGCAAATGGGAAGGACTGCTACGAGATGAGGTGACAAAGGTGACTTCACAATGACCACTTCATACTGACATAGCTGTTCCCTAAGCATAGACAGGCTTTCCCACTCCCTCCTCACTGAAAATTGACCAAAGCATTAACTATCAGTTGTGTAGATTAAGAGCTAAGTTATTACTTTCTAATCCTGGTAGCACAAAAACAAAGAAATTGGATAAACTTAGCATTTTATAATCATGAAAGAACAGCTTTTATGTATCTGCTACTTTATGACTACCTGATTCATTCATGTGTATTTTTTTCTTTTGACAAAACTATGATAAAGTTCATAAGGAAAAGTATCTTTATTCTGGAAAAAAGGCTAAGGGAAAACCAGCCCTAGAGGCTAGTAGAATACATTATAAAGCTATAGTAATTGAAAAGTTTGGTTTTGATGGTGAAATAGAACAGGGGGTGTCCACTTAATTCACTTGGTAGAGCATGGTGCTGGTAACACCAAGGTCATGGGATCAGATCCTCATACCAGCCAACCAAAAATAAATAAATAAATGAAATAGCAGATTGTTGAACAGCATGGACTATGTTGACAGAATTGTTCTTGTGGGATTTTCATAGAAGGAAGTGTTTCTTGATGTATTACTTCTGATAGTGTGCAACCACAGAAAGAGTTCATGATATAAATCTAAAAACGATCTGAAGACTTATCCTCCACCATCTCCCCAAGTGGACATTTGGATCTAGAGTACCAGTGTGGCCAAAGGATCCTTGTATCAGAGTTAATAAAACTGAAACACTCATCAGTTTGCAAATGCCAGCTTCCATTGATTTGAGGAGCTTCACATTAGGGAACAACTACTGATCATGACTACTCCCTATGGCTCAGAAGAAAGCAAGCTTTGGAAGAAGTCACTTTTTGACTCAATTTTGAATGCAAAGTTTGAATGCAAGAGAATTGCAATTAGAATACTAAAATAGAGCAGTCATGGGCAACCCCTGCCAGATTGGCAGACAGCAGGAAGCACCACCATGCTGGTGGTCCACCACTGCCACTCTTGCCACAAGGGCAGCTCAGTGCTGCAGCAGCCACCACCACCACCATGCAGGCGGCCCACAGACCACTCAACTGTATTAACACAATTGGAGCCCAGAGAAAGAGCACGTGTGCAAGAGGAAATCTTGTCTCCTCAAAGCCTACTCCAGAGTAATAGAAGTAATTTCTCTACTAGATGAACAGACATCAATGTAGACGTACTAGAAATATGAAAAAATAAGAAAATATGACATTACCAAAGGAATACAATGGTTCTCAACTTCCAGACCCCATACAGCAGGAAATCCTTGAAATGACTGAAAAGGAATTCCAAGTAACAGTCTTAAGGAAAGACTATCTCAATGAGATACAAGAAGACTCAGACAATACAATGAAATGAGAAAGAGTATCCAGAATATGTAAGGGGAAACATAAAAAGAGATTAATTCCTTAAAAAAGAATGTAGCAGAACTCCTGGAACTGAAGGATTCATTCAATGAAATAAAAAACACAACTGAAAGCTTAAGTAGCATGCTAGAGTGAGTAGAAGAAAGAATTTCTGATCTTGAAGTTGGTCTTTTTGAAATAACCCAGGAGGACAAAAGAAAGAAAGAAAAAATAATTTTTAAAAATGAAGAAAATCTAAGAGAGCTGGCAGACAACCTAAAGCGTACAAGTATCCAAAACATGGGTATTCTGGAAGGAGAGGAGAAAGGAAAAGGCATTGAGAACATATTCAATGAGATAATAGCAGAAAAATTCCCAGGTATGGGAAGAGACAAGGACCTTCAGATTCAGAGACCTGAATCTTTGAATTTGCTCAAAGATCCCCAAACAGATTCAATATAGAAAGGTCCTCTCTGGGCCGGCCCGGTGGCGCACTGGAGAGTGCGCCGCTTGGGAGCGTGGTAGCGCTCCCGGCGAGGGTTCAGATCCCATGTGGAGACCGGTTCCCGCTCACTGGCTGAGCGCAGTGCGGGCACAACACCGAGGGTTGTGATCCCGTTGCCAGTCCCTGGTACGGGCATGACATCGAGGGTTGCGATCCCGTTACCGGTCAGTAAAAAAGACAAAAAGGAAAAAAAAAAAAAAAGGTCCTCTCTGAGACACTTTATAGTCAAACTGGAAAAACTCAATGACAAGGGGAGAATCTTAAAAACAGCAAGAGAAAAGCATCAAGTCAACTATAAGGGAGACCCCATCAGACTAACACCAAGCTTCTCAACAGAAACTCTACAGGCCAGGACAAAATGGGATGATATATTTAAAATACTAAAAGAAAAAACCTGCCAGCTAAGAATACTATACCCAGCAAGGATATCCTTCAGAAATGAGGGAGAAATAGTGTATTTCCCAGACCAAAAAAAAAAAAAACTGCAAGAGTTCACTACCCTATGACTAGCCCTACAAAAATCCTAAAGGAAGTTCTGCGTCTGGAATCCCAAAGACAAAAATCACTACCGTGAATACACAAGAAAGAACAAAACTCACTGGTAGAACAAAATGCAAATGAGAAAGACAAAGAAACTATCTTACCATTGCAAAAAACCAACAAACACCACAGACAATAAGAGGAAAAGAAAGGTAACAAAGGTATTTATAACATCCAAACAAAAATTGATAACATGCCAGGAGTAAGACAGTACCTTTCAGTAACAACTCTGAATGTAAATCGATTAAATTCCGCACTCAAAAGACACATACTGACTGGTTGAATTAAAAAGCTAGACCTAACTGTAGGCTGTCTTCAAGAGACTCACCTCACCTGTAAAGACACACACAGACTGAAGGGATGGAAAAAGATATACCATGCAAATGGAAACCAAGAACAAGCAAGAGTATCTATTCTTATATTGGATAAAATGGACTTTAAACTAAAAACAATAAAAAGAGACAAAGAAGGCCACTATATAATGATAAAGGGATCTCTCCAGCAAGGAGACATAACAACCATAGATATGTATGCACCCAAGCCAGAGCACCCAGATATATAAAGCAAACACTATTAGACCTAAGGAAAGAGACCCTGATACAATAATAATTGGGGATGTGAACATGCCTCTTTCAGCTTTGGACATATCATCTAGGCAAGAAATCAACAGAGAAACGCAGGATTTAAACTGTACTTAAGACAAATTGGACCTGGAAGGTATCTACTGAACATTTCCCCCAACAACTACAGAATATATATTTTTCTTATCAGCACATGGAACATTCTCCAGGATAAACCACATGTTAATTCACAAATCAAGTCTAAGAAAATCTTTAAAAACTGAAATAATTTCAAGTATCTTTTCAGACCACAATGGATTAAAACTAGAAATCAGTAACAAGTGGAACTTGTTAACATGCCAGGAATAAGACAGTACCTTTTATTAACAACTCTAAATGTAAATGGGAATTATACAAATACATGGAAATTAAACGACATGCTCCTGCACAACCATGGGTCCAAAATGAAATTAAACAGGAAATCAAAAAATTTCTTGAAGCTAATTAAAATAAACATCATACCAACACCTACAGCAACACATCAAAATGATTATATATCAAGATCAAATGGGATTCATGCCAGGGATGCAAGGATGTTTCAACATATGCAGTGAATAAATGTGATACACCACATCAACAAAAGCAAGGGTAAAAACCATACGATTATCTCAATAGATACACAAAAAGCATTTGACAAAATTCAGCATCCTTTCATGATAAAGATTCTCAGCAAATTAGGTATAGAAGGAAAGTATCTCAACACAGTAAAAGCCATATCCAGCAAACCCACCACCAGTATTATCCTAAATGGGGAAAAGCTTTTAGCTTTTTCTTTAAGAACAGGAACAAGACAAGGATGCCATTTTCACTACTCCTATTTAGCATAGTATTAGAAGTACTAGCCAGAGCAATTGGGTAAGAGAAAGAAATAAAGGGCATCCAGAGTAGAAAAGATGAAGTCAGTGTCCCTGTTTACAGAAGACATGACCTTATATCTAGAAAAACCTAAAGACTCTACCAAAAGAAAAAAAAAAACCTCTTAGAGCTGATAAGTGATTTCAGATAAAGTTACAGGATACAAAATTAACATGCAAAAAATCAGTAGCATTTTAATACTCCAATAACAAACTAGCAGAAAAAGAAATCAAGAAAGCAAGCCCATTTGCAGTAGTCACCAAAAAAATTAATTACTAGGAATAAACTTAAACCAAAGAGATGAATGATCTCTACAATGAGAACTACAAGTCACTGCTGAAAGAAATTTTAAGATATACAAAAAGATAGAAAGACATTCTATGCTTCTTGGATTGGCAAAATTAATATTGTAGAAATTTCCATACCAGTCAAAGCCATCTACAGATTAAATGCAATCCCTATTGAAATACCAATGATATTCTTCATAGAAATAGAGAAAATAAATCTAACTTCCACATAGAACAAGAAAAGACCCTGAATAGCCAAAGCAACCCAGAGCAATAAATAAATAAATAAATAAAGCTGGAACCATAACACTACCTGGCTTCAAATTATACTACAAAGCTATAGTGACCAAAATAGCACTGTACTGGCATGAAACAGACACTTGGACCAATGGAACAGATTAGAGAACTCAGAAATCAACCTACATGCTTGTAGCTGGCTGTTCTTTGGCAAAGGCAACAAGACATACATTGGGGAAAAGACTGCCTTTTCAATAAATGGGTAACTGGACATCCATATGTAGAAGAATGAAATTAGACCTGTACCTCTTGCCATATATCAAAATCAACTCAAAATGGATTAAAGACTTACATAAGACCTGAAACTGTAAAACTCCTAAAAAAAAGACATAGGTGAAACACTTCAGGAAGTAGGACTGGGCAAAGACTTTATGAATAAGACACCAAAAGCACAGGCAACACAAGAAAAATAAACAGATGGGATTATACCAAACTAAAAAGCTGTACAGCAAAAGAAACAATTAACAGAGTGAAAAGACAACCTACAGAATGAAAGGAAATATATGCAAACTATGCATCTAAGAAAGGATTAATATCCAGAATGTACAGGAATTCAAACAACTTAACAGTAAAAAAACAAGTAACCCAGTTAAAAAATGGGCAAAGCAGCTGAACAGCATTTCTCCAGGGAAGATATACAGGTGGCCAGCAGACACACAAAAGAATGCTCAACATCACTAGGCATCAGAGAAATGCAAGTCAAAACTACATTAAAATATAATCTCACTCCAGTTAGACTGGCTGTTACCAAAAAGACAGAATAACAAATGCTGGCAAGGATGTGGAGAAAGGGGAGCCCTCATACTGTTGGTGGGACTATAAATTAGTACAGCCATTATGGAAAACAGTATGGAGGTTCCTCAAGCAACTACAGACGGAGCTGCCATATGATCCAGCAATTCCACTGCTGGGTGTATACCCAAAGGAATGGGAATCATCATGTAGTAGGGATACCTGCACCCCCATGTTTATCACAGCTCTATTTACAATAGCCAAGAGTTGGAACCAACTTAAATGTCCATTGAGGGATGACTGGATAAGGAAAATGTGGTATATTTACACAATGTAATACTACTCTGCCATAAAAAAGAATGGATTTCTGCCATTTGCTGCAACATGGATAAACTTAGAGGAAATTATGTTAAGTGAAATATGCCAGACACAGAAAGAAATACCACATGTCCTCACTCAAAAGTGGGAGCTAAAATAATAAATAAATAAATAATAAAAGAAAGAAAGATACAACGATCACAGTAATTCATTGAACTTTCAAAAGGAGATAACAGAACTGAGGCCAACAATGATGGGAAAAGGGGGTTGTGAGAAATTGGTAAAGGGCCACAAAAAAATGATTATGATGTGCAGGGTTGAAAGTACTAATTACCCTGATTTGAGCCTTATATATTGCACACAGATATTGATATTCAATGCTGTACCCCACAGGTATGTATAACCAATTGTTTCAATAAAAAAAGAAAAAGAGAATATTAAAATTTAAAAGAATGAAATAGAACAGAATAGAAACTGAAATCCACCAAATACTGGGGAAAATTGATTAATTATTCAGTAAATGGTATTATAACAACTGGAAGGAATTTGATATGTATGGAAGAAGCTGTAGTCCCACCTCACTCCTTATACCCAAATAAATTTCACATGGATAATAGATTTAAATGTAAAAAGTGATACTGTAAAAGTACCAGAAGAAAACATGGGCAAATTTTGCAGAACATTGGAGTGGTAGAAATTCTTTCTAAGTATACCACAAAACCCAGAAGCCAGAAATGAAAAAAACTGAGGATAAAATAATCCTATATTGGGCCGGCCCGGTGGCGCACTGCCACAGTGCGCCGCTTGGGAGCGTGGCGGCGCTCCCACTGAGGGTTCGGATCCCACATACAGACCGGTTCCCGCTCACTGGCTGAGCGAGGGGTGGGCACAGCACCGAGGGTTGCGATCCCGTTGCCGGTCCCAGTCCGGTACAGGCGCGACACTGAGGGTTGCGGTCCGTTGCCGGACACGAAAAAGGAAAAAATATAATAATAATAATCCTATATTTGTTAGTTTTTATATTTTTCGAACACTTGGTTAGAAAATTCAAACACTATTAATAAAGAATAAAATGAAGACTAAAAGGTGCCTCAATCTCTCACTTCAAAATAGTTTCTTATATTTTCTTCCAGAAAGCAAATTTATGCTTATATCATCTTGTGTGTATATGTTTATTATTTTTTAAATGCATACAGAAGAGATCATGTTAAACACAACTATTTGAAACTTGCTTTATTTAAGTCATATATCTTGGATCTCTTCCCAACTTATTACACACATACTTTTTTTTTCTATTATTCTTTATAATGTGCATAATATTTAACTGTATGGATGGGCCATATTTTAATCTAATTGGTTCCTTACTGATGAACATTCACGTTTTTTTAAAGCCTTATTTTTTTTTTAACTGATGATTAAATACTCGAAGATTTATGATTGTTAGATCTCCTGGATAGTTCATATTTTTATTCAGAATGGAATATTGCTATCTCATTTAATGTTTTTTGCTTTGAAATTTGTTAGCAATGTTGTTATATTTGCCTTTTCAGAATACACTAGGTATTTTTTTATTTTATATTTTTTATGGCATTTAATTTTTGATATGGCTCTTATAAACATATAGCTCAATTTTGTGGTTTTGCCCGATCTGATAATAATACATTCATCTTTATTGTGTTTATTGATATGTTTGGACTTAATCTTTCACATTATTGTATATTTTCTCTCCATCATGCTTTCTGATTCTTTTTTTTCCTTTCATGTTGTTTGTTGTATTGATCAGTTAACAAGTTTTCTCCTCATTTCTCTCCTTGTTTTCCCATCTCATCTTTACCTGTCTTTAGTGATTTCAGAGTTGTACATCTTACTTCTGTTCTTCTGATGTTATCCTTAAATTTGTTTTGGACTGACCTCTGGCGTTAATTGTTGTCTCTGTCTGTCTCCCAAAGAAGACTGAAAACTTGAGACTCTTCCTAACCTCCTCTCTTCAACTCTGCCTCCCACGATGAGATGACCTAGGATTTTAGTTTTAGACTAGTTCTTTTCATATATGTTTTTAAATATTATTCATGAGTATTTATTTAACTTAAGAAGTTTTTATGGTTTCTGTGCTCATCGCTGTTTCTTCTTACCATTTTTCTTGAGTTCATTTTTTGTTGTACTTTATCCTTAAATTCTTACAAAGGTTATATGGTTTATGCTAAGTCCTTACATCTGGAAATTATTTTAATTTGCCCTCTTACTTGAATGCTAGTTGGGCTAATTATACGATTCTAGATTCAAAATCATTTTCTCTCAGAACTTTTAAAATATTATTCCAGTATGTTCTGACATCTGATTTTTGCCAACAAGAAACCTGATGCCAGTCTGATTCTAGTTCCTTTCGAAGTAATCTGTTTTATTTCTCCTGAAATCCTTTCAAGGTTTTTAAAATTATTTATTTCTGAAGTTTCCCCACAATATGTTAGGTGTGAGTCTTTTTCCATTTATCCTATTCTGCGCTCAGTAGGTTCTTTTGAGTACTTGTGTTTTTCTTCAGACTAAGAAGTCTTCCTCCTCCTCCACCTCTTCCTCCTCATTTTCCTCTTCTCCTCCTCCTCCTATATCCTCCATTTTTCTGTTCTCTCCTAGAATGCCAATTATACAGACTGAATCAGTTAAGAATGTTTTTGGCTTCAAGTACCAGAAAGCTCTATTAACAGTGGATTAAACAAATAAGCGGTAATTTCTGTGAAGTGAATGGTCAGAATCTGGTTACTGTTTATATGTATTTGAATGGCAGAGAAATAGCACATTTTAAATTAATGACTCTTTTCTGCCCAACCTCACCTCTTTATAAAATTTTTTCTTTTGGTTTTACATGGCTGCAGTAGTCAGACTGAATCTTCAGGCCAAATTCAAGGAGTTGCTGTGACATCTTCAGCAGGTGTGGAGGTCACAAATGAGAAGCAGGGCAAAAAGAAGAGCAAAACTACAGTGAACGTTGTATTGAAGCCAAATCCTTTGGACCAAACTTGTATTCATCCAGAATCATATGACATAGCAATGAGGTAAGTCTTAGGCTCATGCAAGAATTCTCCATGCCCAGAGTGAATTCTTTACAGCAAATGGCCTTTGTTTTGGCATAATGGAAACTGAAATATATGACCGTGTTTAACATGACAACATTTTTCAGAAGTTCTGCATTGCTGAGTTACGTAACACATGATTTTATTTTAGTGGGGAATGAAACCATTATTCCTGGAGCAATGTCAAGCTAATAAACCCTGATACTAATGGTGAAGTGTGTGTAATGGAAATTGCATGGCACTCTCCTCTGTTTGCTTTGGAAATTAACAAGACACAATTGACTAGCACCTGGCATAAAGCTTGTGCTTTTCTGAAGATAAAGCCCTTTTGAAAGTAAACAGCAAACTCAGATTTTCTAAGAAATACTGTTCTGATTGGATATTACAGAGCCTAAGAAATGGTGTACTTTTAGTGAGCATACACTAACACAGAATGATATGGAGGAGGTTTTTGAGTACAAGGAAAGTTTAATGTAAGGTATTAAAAGAAAAAACAACTTTTTAATAGCACATTTGATTAGTTTAAAAATGTTAATTAGTTTGGGAACAGTGACTTGTGACAACCAAATTTTTTAAAGGTTCTTACTGAATTATATGACTGGATTTAAAAATAGTAAACATTTTAACTTTCTTTGAATCTAAAATAAAATGTTAAATTTGTTTTAAATTAATTTTTATTTGATTATTTTAGTAAATGTTATTTATTTGCTTTCTTTTAAAAATGTTTGAAATTATAAAGATTATGCCACATTATAGAGAACTTAGAACATAGAAAAAAGAAGTAAAAATAATACTCTGTCAGCATTAAAGCAGTGGTTCCTGTTTTTCCCCCAACATTTTATTATGAAAAAAATTTACAGTTAATTCTACCTATATACCCACACCTAATTTTATCATTAACATTTTACTGCAACTGTTTTCCCACATATCTGTTCATGTATTCTTCCATCAATCCATCTTATTTTTTTATGCATTGCAAAGAAAATTACAGACATCAGTACACTTTCCACTAAGTACTTCAGTATGCATATAATTAACTACAATTTGATAATTCTTTACAGTTTTTTTTTATGGTAAAATTCACATACAGTTAAATTTTAAGTGTACATAAGCTGAATTTTGACAAATACCTGTATTTGTATAACCCAAACCTCTGTCAAGATAAAGAACATTACTATCATCCCAAAACATCCTCTTATACTTCTTCCAAGCCAGTCCCTAACTCAGCCTCCTGGAAGTAACTATATAGCCTTATTTTTTTTGGCACTGTCCAGTACAGTGATCGAACCCTGGACCTAGGTGTTATCAGATCCACCCTCTAACCAACCAAGCTAACTGACCAGCCCTATGCTGATTTTTTCTACCAAGGATTAGTTTGTTGCTTCTAGAACTTTATATAAATGATACCATACACTTATACTCTTTCGTGTAAGGTTTGTTTCAGCATTGCATTTAAAGATTTATCCACATTATAACAAGAACCAGTAGGTTGTCCCTTTTTATTGCTGAGTCATATTTCATTATATGAATAAACCACAGTTTATTCTTCTATTGATGGAAGCTAAGAAATATAGGAAAAACTAAGCTGTTTTTTCTATTCTGTACTCTCAATGAAACGTAGAACACATCTGTAACTTCTGGTCACCAAAATGTATGGGGATTTCTCCCCACAAACAGCCAATCAATTCTGTAGCAGATTCTCTATGGAACAATAGCTGAGTGTCCTCTAATTCAGTTCAATTCTGAGACTATCTACCTGGAGATAGTATCAGATCCCAACAGCTTGAGGGCTCAGTCCCACAAGACTGCTCTCTCCACCACCACAGACACCTGTACTTCTGACTGACTAGCTATAAATCATGATTCCCATGACGCCCTCCTTGGGTTCGATTAACTTGCCTCACAGAACTCAGGAAACACTGACATTTACCCATTTATTATAAAGGATGATATAAAGTATATAGATGAACAGCTAAATGGAAGAAATGCCTAGGCCAAGGTATGGGATAAGGGGCACAGAACTCTGTGCCCTTCCTGGACATACCACTCTCCAGGAAGCTCCACATGTTCATCTAGCTGGAAGCTCATTCATACCCAATCCTTTGGGGGTTTTATGGAGGCTTCATTATGTAGGCCTAATTGATTACATCATTGGCCATTGGTGATCAACTCAACTGGCTGCCCCTTTCCCCTCCCTAGAGGTAGGGGATGAGCTGAAAGTACCAACCCTTTAACTGTGTGGTTGGTTCTTCTGATGACCCCCCCCCCCCCCGCCCCCAACCAGAAGCTATCTGGGAGCCCTCAGTCATTTTATTAACACACACACACACACACAAAACACCTCTCATCACTCCAGAGACCAAGTGTTTTAGGAGCTTTTTGTCAGGAAGAAAACCAAATATATATTTCCCAATGTCATGTGGAACCGTGGCTATTTCCAGTTTTGAGCTGTTAGGAATAAAACTACTATGAACATTCTTGTACATTTTTTTGTTGCTGTTGTCATTTATTTTCGTTTATCTTGGAAAAGTACTTAGGAGAGGAATTGCTGGGTTATAGGGTTGAAGAATGTTGAGTTTTATTAGAAACTTTTGTACCATTTTACATTTTATACTTCCACCATGAGAGTTCTGGTTACTTCACATCTTTGTCATTATTTGATATTAGTCTTTTTGATTTCAACCATTCTAATATATGTGTAGTAGTCTCTCTTTGTAGTTTTAATTTGCATTTCCCTGATGATATTGAACACTTTCTCATGGGCATATTAGTCATTTGTATATTTTCTTTGAAATATCTGTCTTTAACATATGGCGATTTTCTAATAGAGTTGTTTGCCTTTTTATTATTGAGTTTTGGAAGTTTTTTAATATATATTCTACATATATTAAAAAGTTCTTTGTCAAATATGTTTCACAAATATATTCTCCTAGTTTTTGACTTACTTTATTTCTTTCATGGTGTCTTTTGATGAGAAGCTTTTAACTTTGAGGTCTAATTTATCAGTTCTTTTGCTCTTATCCTTGTTACTTTCCATGTCCTATCTAAGAAACTTGCCTACCTCAAGTCAATGTATTCTTCAACGTATTTCTCTTTCTGTGCCTGGCTTATTTCACTTAACATAATTTTCTCCAAGCTCATCTATGCTGCTGTCAGTGGCAGAATTTCATTATTTTTTATGGCTGAGTAGTATTCTATTGTGTATATATACCACATTTGCCTTATCCAGTCATCTGTTCATAGACATTTAGGTTGGTTCCAACTCTTGGCTGTTGTAGATAGAGCTGCAATAAACATGGGAGTGCAGTATCCCTTCAACATAGTGATTTCCATTCCTTTGGGTATATATCCAATAGTGGGATTGCTGGACTAGATTGTGTGGCAGTTTTATCTGTAGTTGTTTGGGAAACCTCCATACTGTTTTCCATAATGACTGTACTAATTTACAATCCCACCAACAGTGTAGGAGTTTTCCCTTTTCTCCACATCCTTGACAACATTTGTTATTGTCTTTTTGATAATAACCAGTCTAACTGGGCTGAGATGCTATCTCAGTATGGCTTTGATTTGCATTTCCCTAATGATTAGTGATGTTGAGCATTTTTTCATGTGCCTGTTGGCCATTTGTATATCTTCACCTGAGAAATGTCTGTTCAGCACCTTTGCCATTCTATTCTAAATCCCTTTTACTTTTTTTAGGGTCTTCTCAAATTCATTTCACTTCCCACCTCACTGAAAAAAATCCAAAACTACCTTACAATCCCCTTCTTCAGATTGTCTCCATATCTTTGCTCATTCTCTCCCATCCTCCCTAAGCTATTCATCCATTTTTAAAATTTTGTTTCCTTCACCATCCTCACTTTCCCAAGTTGCTGCTGAGGACTTTTGACTTTGCCCGTTGTCTTAATCTCTGTGTGTCTAATCTCTGTAATTGCCTCACCTCTAAAAGTGAGGGGTAAATGACAGCTGAATGAATAAGATCTTTTAGCATTATATTATGACTACCTCTTATATCTTTAATGTGTCCTCCACTTATTCCTATAGTTTTAGCCCCTGGCCTTATTATTGCTGTGATCTCCCCTTTTCCCACTCCCTAAAAGCTAAAAGCAACAATCACCTCTTATCTTACTTTCCCCTAGAATTTATAATCCATTGCTCTTCCTTTTCATTGCCAAACTTCTCAGGAGGTCTGCCTCTAATTCTTACTGCCTGCTTTCTCCCAGTCCCTTACAGATTGGCTTTCATTCTTATTCTTTCAACTAATGACCTCCTGATTGTCAAAACCAGTGGCCTCTTTCCATCCTTAAACCACTTACCCATTCGGCCACATTTAACGCCATCAATTTATTGACCTTCCACGGCTTTTGTTTTTATATTTTATCTTCTCTGGTTTCTCTTCCTCCTTTAGCCCTCTAGATGTAGATATTCTTCACATTTTTTACCTTAGCCTTCTTTTTCTCTTGTTCTGTATGCTCCCTTGGATGACCACATTCACTGACATGACTATCCTTATCTCTTACCTTTCCACATAATTCCAGTCCTACATCTTAACATCTGTAGTTCTGGTCTTTCTCCTAAGCTCTAGTTCCCCCTTCCATTTGTCTGCAAGAGATTTTTCTCATAAATGTCTTAGCAATTCAAATTCAGTATATCTAAAACTGAAACTTGAACCCCCTTTTCTCTCTCCCTTTTTAATCCATCTTCTCCTCCCATCATTCCTCCTCACTAGCCCTACACACACACCAAAAAAAAAAAAAAAAAAAAAAAAAAAAAAAAAAAAAAAAAAAAAAAAAGGCTTGGNTATTTCTTTCATGGTGTCTTTTGATGAGAAGCTTTTAACTTTGAGGTCTAATTTATCAGTTTTTTTGCTCTTATCCTTGTTACTTTCCATGTCCTATCTAAGAAACTTGCCTACCTCAAGTCAATGAATTCTTCAATGTTTTCTTCTAAAAGCTTGATGGTTTTAACCTTTATATTTAGATCTGG